AATCTGGACGAGCAAACGGTCGTGTTTATCTTTGCTGTGAATCCAGATAAATACAAGAAGGAATCTAGCCGAATTTTATAATGTTTCCTTCGCCAGGAGTTTAGTTTCGTCACGAAACTCATGGCCTGATGCTCTTGTAATCGTTTACAAAAAACGGCCGCCGCCAACTCGATAGCCGCTTCATTATATGTCCACATACTTTGAGCACAAGAAAAATCCAAGAGCCAGCAGCCTCTAAAATAACTCAATAGAAAGGTTCTGTGAACTATAGGGAAGATTCCATCAAAGATTCCATCGCTCATTGTGGAGTAGCCGTCATTAACTCTGCCATTACAACGGCCGCTGATAAGAGGTCACAGTAAATCCACGTAAAAACATTCCACAGGCAAACAATTTCAAAATAACGCCAAAAAATTATTCTGTAATCACCATAGAACGATTCTTAATACAAAACTTCGCTATCTATCGAACGATGGCTGAGATTTAGACAGATAAAAACAGCCTTCCAAAATCTGCGACAGAACTTGAAAAAGTTGGGCCGTCTTTTTCAAGTTTGTTTTCATTGGCTCGCGCATGCGTGTGGGGTGACATAGCCCCTTTAATGACTGAAGAAGCTCGAAGAGCGATATATATCTCAAGACTTTGTTTTTATTTTTACAGTTTTTACAGTTTCTTGATTTTTAGAGCGTTGAATGTGTAAAAAACAGGATTATAAAAAACCCCATGCACACAATTTACACCTGGCTGAAGGTGTTGGACTTTAGTCCCTTTTACAATTCGTACGTAAAATAACGCAAATGTTTACTAGAAAATTTTCTCAAACGATTTTAAGAAATCACCTCGCGTTTACAATATCTACTATTAAAATTTGCTTCATGCAACGTTAAGGTTGATAGCCTAACATTTATTTCCTTCCAAAAAAATTATCATGAAACTGCCGAAATTTATTTCTACTCATATCATGTTATTCCACTCAATAAAACGGTAATTATTTTGTCAACTAGCTTCTTCGAATTTGACCGCTACTGTTTCGACTTAAGTTATGCATCTTTACTATGAACAAAATAAAACGTACGTTTCCATAACTATATCATAACTCTTAAGCAGCAAGCATGCATCATGTTCCTCAACTAATTCATGTTTTTTGTTTGCCGGTACGAAAAAGGTCGAAAAAGGTCTGTTAACCCATTCGCCCCTGAACCGCCCGTAACCGCCCGTGCGGATCCACGTCCTTTCTACCCTTTGTGGCGTCATCAGTTTTAACGGTCAAGGACAACTTTGTCCGCTAACTTGTGCAGAGTGAAGAGATCTTTCAAACCATACCAGAATGAGCACAATTCAGTTAGGACACCGCAGAAACAAGCAAAAAACCATGTGACATTAACCTGAAAATCTCCATGAAAATCTTGTTCCATATGCATTGCCCACCTACCTTTCCTTTCACCTAATCCCAAGATCCTAAAAGCTTTCCTAAAAACTATTCCCACCAAAATGAAGCCTACTAAATGCCCAGCAAGAGAAAAGAAAATGAGGCAAGAAATGCGAAAAAAGAGGGGAGGAGAGAAAGCGGAAAGTAAAAGTCAAGACTGCCGTGTCACTTTTAAACCCCAAAACTCGAAATTTTGTTTTCTGCGCATGCCCGAACTTCGCAAGCTGATATTTTGCATCTGGATCAGAAGGCCGGGAAGTGTACGACCTGTAAACTGGTTTGTGGTAAGTTTTAGCTCTTTATAGCAGGACAGTGGCCAGAAAACCACTCGACTAGCTTCAAAACGCGTTTTTCGGCAAAATCTCCAGGAGCGAATGGGTTAAACTTTGTAAGCGAGAGAATAAAGCTTGTTTACAGGCCTTAAAAATACTCGCCTTGCCTTTCAAACTTCTAAAACAACAATTTATAGGGTGAAAACTTCCGAATCTAAGGTCCATATCTAAATTTCGGCTATTGTTTCATTGAATTACAATATATAATATATGAAAAATATATGATTGTTTATACTCTGCCTTGAAGCAGGTGAAACAGAACTCATAAACTATGAAACACCTGCTTTGTACCGTTCGCGACAGCCGAATTCTAGGTCAAATGTCTTGAAGCAGCACCCACACTAAAATATGGACCTGTCAACAGCTGCATCACTGTACTCAGCGTTTGAATCATGAGGATATTTCAATATTATGCTTCAAAACACTTTTAGCCGTAATAAAAAAGGTAAACTTGAATTGTGAAGAATCAAGATTGAATTTGCGGTTTCCAGTACGAGCAAAGATGGCTGAGAATACTTCATTTCGCTTTTTTCAGGTCATTGACGAGTTCAATTAAAACTCCGAAGAGATTCTAGCGACTTTTTATCAACCTGATACTAGTTATTCACTATACATAGTAAGGAATAAGTCATTGACAGATGATTTTTTGAATATAAATGTTCTTTATTTATTTATATTTTAACACAGCTATGAAGTATTCCATAGTAGTACATGTACAAATACTCTTTGAGTATATGCACTGGTTCTTTTACCAAATTGAAAATGATTAATGAAACTTGAAACTAACCATGAACTTATAAAATAAATACTTCCTGTTATTTATGTCACTGAAAAAAGTATGTTCGCTCTTAAATATACTCTTCGTTATACAATTTCATTGACATGATGCTCCTTATAAAGAAAGACTAAATCTCAGGAGCTTATAAAGGTTTATATTAAACATTACAGCAAGAGAGAACAGCCAACACTATATACATGTAGGATTATGCCCTTGCTTCTTGGCCATCTTAAAAATATTCATGCACTCGGTGATTCTTTTTACGTTTCTATAAAAAAATTACTTCAGAAAAGAAAATGTTGAACATTAAATAATATCTTTGCAGTTTATGTACTTACATTTATTTACAAGGTATTATTAAAAGCGATTAGATCTTGAGATCTCGTCGGTATCGAAAGATATTGACTCTTTTTGAGAACTTCAATCTTTCTATTCCGCAGTACATCCTTTGTTGCCCCCCCCCCCCCCCCCCCCCCCCCC